GAGAGAGAGATGGGGCGGGGGGGGACTGTTCAGTGATTTGTAGACATACATCAGTATTTTGAACTGGATTCGAAAGTGAACCGGTAACCAGTGCAGGGAGGCCAAAACTGTTGTAATGTGCTCTCTTTTGCTTGTACTGGTTAAAAATCGGGCTGCTGCATTTTGGACCAGTTGTAGTCGTGCAATGGAGGTTTGACTGATACCAAACAGGAGTGAATTGCAGTAATCAAGCCTAGATGTAATGAATGCATGCATTACTGTCTCCAGGTTATTTTTGGACAATATGGGCTTCAGTTTAGACAGCTGCCTCAGTTGGAAGAAACATGATTTAACAATCATGTTTACATGATTGTTAAGTTCCAGGGAAGGGTCCATTATCACTTCCAGATTTGTGACTCTTTGTTTTTCTGACAGGGTTAGAGCGGAGAGGTCGATGCAGTGGTTTGTGATTGTGTCATTGGGAGGGAACAACATGACTTCAGACTTCTTTTCATTGAAACTTAAGAAGTTTAAAGCCATCCAGTCCCTGATGTCAGCTAGGCAGTCAAGCAGCGGTTGAATCAAGCATGTACCATTGTGTCTTAGGGGGAAGTAAATTTGACAGTCATCGGCATAGAAGTGGAAGGGCATGTTGTGTTTCCGGAAAATAGCACCAAGCGGTAGCAGGTATAAAGAGAATAGGAGGGGACCCAGGATGGACCCCTGCGGAACCCCCCATTTAAGCTCTGCCTCTGCGGAACTAAAATCCTTGATGGAGACACAAAAGGATCTGTCAGTGAGGTAGGATCTGAACCAATTGAGGGCTGACCCTGTGACGCCCACCCACTGCTCTAACCTAGCAATGAGGATCTCATGGTCGATGGTGTCGAAGGCGGCCGAGAGGTCCAATAGGACAAGCAGCACAGAATCACCAGTATCTGTGGATCTGAAGATGTCGTTAAAGACCTTCAGCAGGGCAGTTTCAGTGCTGTGGAGAGGTTTAAAGCCAGATTGGAATAGCTCTAAAATGGTGTGACCTTCCAGGAAGCACTTCAACTGGGACTCGACTATTTTCTCCAGTACTTTAGAAACAAATGGGAGTTTGGAGACAGGCCGGAAGTTAGACACGACCGAGGGGTCAAGGTTTGTTTTTTTCAGGAGAGGCTGGACAGCAGCATGTTTAAAGTATTTTGGCACCATGCCAGTGGATAAACTACTGTTTACGATATCAAGAATGGACAGACCTAGAGTGGGAAAAACCTCCTTTAGTAGTCGAGGGGGGACCACATCAAAGGGGGAACCAGAAGGTTTCAAGCTGCACATGACCTGCTCTAGAGAAGATAGAGTGATGGGTTCTAAATGGTCAAATGGAGCTACAGACTGAGGTGGGATGGATGGGTCATGAGTTGGAGGGGAAATGAGAGCCCGAGTGGTCGCAATTTTTTCCAAAAAGAAATGTAAGAAGTTGTCGCACAGCTCAGTCGAGGCTTCCAGAGGAGATGGTTCAGTGAGGTGGAGAACAGAGTTTAGGGTGGAGAAGAGGACACGTGGGTTGCGAGAGTTTGAGGTTATGATATCAGAGAAGTATTTGGATTTAACAGCTTTCACTGCTTTCTGATAACGATGCCAACTCTCTTTAAGTATTTGAAAAGAGACCTGCAGCCTGTCTTTCCTCCACTTTCGTTCCGCCCTCCTACATTGCTGCCTAAGGGCCTTGGTGACGTCACTCAGCCAAGGTTCTTCTCTGAGTTTGGATTTTTTGGTTTTAACAGGTGCAACATGATCCAGAGTCTTTAAGCAGACAGAGTTGAACTGGGATGTCAGTTCCTCAGTGGTGGTGAGAAACACCGGGGGCTGACTTATTATTTCAGAGTTATAAACATCTGTGAAACGTGCGGCAGTGAAATGGTTAATTGCCCGGGTGCTACATCCAGGAATGCACGGCTTAGGAGTTAGATGGGGGAGGGTGAACTCAAACTGGACTGGCATGTGGTCTGAAAAAACATTATCACCAATAACAAGATTACTAACAGTCGCATCATGAGTTAAAAGAAGGTCCAGTGTATGTCCGCGCTCTTGGGTGGGACCGTTTACATGCTGAGTTAAATTAAATGAGTCCAATAAATCTAAAAAGTCCTTAACCAAGGGCTTCTCCAGACAGCATACGTGCAAATTAAAGTCCCCAATAATGAAAACATGATCATATTTTGGTATGATTTCAGCTAAGAAGTCAGAAAACTCATTTATGAAGTCCTTAGATCGAGGTGGGCGGTAGACGAGTGCAAATAAAGTCTGAGGTGAATGTCCGAGTTCAAAGATGCTCAGCTCAAAGCTGGCACAGGGAACTGGGATGGGCAGTTGTTTACAATCAAAAGTTGATTTGAATATTGTTAATAATCCACCACCGCGCCGGCCTTATGGCTGCGGGGCGTTAAAATACAAACAGTTCGGTGGCAGTAATTCCGTCAAGGCGCTGGACTCACCCGGAGACATCCAAGTCTCTGTGATGCACAGAAAGTCTAACTCGAGCTCTTGAAAGTAGTCCCTGAGGATAAAAGTTTTGTTGGTAACAGATCTTGCGTTGACCAAACACATCTGGATACTGTCCAAAGTGGAGCCAGCAGCGGTGGAGTTAGTGCACGCTAATGGCCGCAGATTTTCAATAACAGCCCCTCCAGGTCGGTCCGAGCTGCGCACTGGCCGACAACTCCCATTGGTTACCTGGTCCGGGCACGCGGGAAGCTGGAGATGGAGACCATGACCACCAGCTGAAGAGGAAGATGCAGTGCGCAGGGCTTTAATCTTCACCAGCTGACCAGCACGTTTTCCCCGGCGTCTGAAGCGATGTCTCCGGGCAGGCAGGTGAGGAGCGCAGCGGAGGTAAGCTGGCACGTCCGCCAGCAGGGGGGGAGGAGGGGGGGGGGTTCCAGAGGTATGCTCACAATGATCTAAATAAGCGACTTCAGTGACAGAAAAACGAAGATCCAGAAGCTGTTGTCGGTCATGCATGAGGAGTGAATTCATTCCACAGATAAAAAAGGAACAAAACAAAAATAATCCGAACACCATCAGCAGAGGTGGTTTGCAAGCCATGCACACGGGCGCCATCTTACCGGAAGGTATGAATGGAACCATTCTAACACTGCACCAGTAATCCCAACCCAGTGTTCTAGCCGGGATAAAAGGATACTGTGTCCACAGTATCAAATGCAGCGGTAAGGTCAAGAAGTACCAGAACTACAGACTGACCAGAGTCATTTGCCAGAAGAATGTCGTTGCAGACCCTTTCTAAGGCTGTTTCGGTGCTGTGTAGTTTCTTAAAGCCAGACTGAAAGATCTCAAGAATAGAATTTCCACTCAAGAACTCGTTTAATTGAGTGAAAACTATTTTCTCCAGGATCTTAGAAAGAAAGGGAAGTTTGGAGATGGGTCTGAAGTTTGAGCAGGTTGAAGGGTCAAGTCCGGGTTTTTTATTAAAGGAGTTACCACTGCATGTTGAAAAGCGTCAGGAACTACACTTGTAGCCATACTGCTGTTCATAATGTCAAGAACAGAAGGTCCAATGGAGGGTAGGACTTGTTTAAAAAAACGATGCAGGGATGGGGTCAGCTGGGGAACCTGAGTGTTTCATATGACCAATGACGTCATTTAGAAATGAGAGGGAAATGGGTTCAAACTGGTTAAAGACTGATGTGGAGGGGACAAAGACAGAGGGGTCAGCTGTGGTGTGAGAAATCAGTGACCAGATCATCTCAACCTTTTTAACAAAGAAACTGGCAAAGTTGTCACACATAACTGCAGAGTCTTCCCTGTTGGCAGACTGAGGCACGGTTAAAATGGCGTTAATGGTATTGAAAAGAACGCGGGGATTGTGGCTGTTTCAGGCGATGATTTGGGAGAATTTTTTTTTTTTTTTTTTTTCTGATTTAACAGTGGCCTGGTACTCTTTGTAACATGATTTTAGTATAATAAAAGAAACGTGAAGTTTGTCCTTCTTCCATTTACGTTCGGCTTTCCTGCATTGATGTTTGGCTGCGCGAGTGATCTCATTCATCCAAGGGTGTGGAGTGCGCTTTGGATGCCTAATTTTTAATGGTGCAACTAGGTCAAGCACCTTAGCACAGGTCTCTTGATGTACAGTGACTAGCTCATGGGTGTTCATGGAAGAGGATTCACAGACTGAGAGAGAGTTTTTAGTAAAAGCAGATGAAAAGAGCGCAGCAGTGGAAGGGTTAAATATTCGACAAGGCCTGGCTGGAGGGGGAGGGGGTTTGGAGTCGTTGACAAAAGAAGTGTTGAAAGAAATGGGTTTGTGGTCAGAGAAACTGCATCCCCAATTTCTAACTCAGAAACAGATAAACCATAGGTTAACACTAAATCCAGTGGCCATGCTGGTGAGTTGGTCCTGCAACATTCTGTACAAAGTTCAGAGACTGGATCAGATCTAGAAAGTCCTGAGTCAGCGGCTTTTCAGGGCAACAGACATGTATATTGAAATCTCCAAGAATCAAAACCCAATCATATCTGAGCAGAATCCAAGTTAAAAAGTCAGAGAGTTCAGCCATGAAGTCCTTATTATATTTGGGTGGCCTGTATAACACAGCATAGGATTTGAACAGCCCACCTCAAAGCACAGCAGTTTGAAGCTCAAAAAATTAGTTGGTATCTGTACAAGTTTGCAGTTCCATCGTTTTTTGAAAATAGTTAATAATCCACCACCTTTGCCTGATGTTCTCGGAGCATTAAAATAGGAACAGTCCGGTGGTAAAATTTCCGACAGGGCCATGAACTCATCACAGGAGAGCCACGTCTCAGTCACGCAGAAGAAGTCCAGGAGAAAAAGTCCTTCAAGATGAACGTTGTATTAGCCAGAGATCTGGCGTTTATCAGTGCAATCCTTGAAGGAATCACAGCAGGAGAAGTTGTCCATGAAGTTAAGACCAGCGGTCTCAGATTTGTGGAATTCGACCCACGACTCCAATAACCGGAAGCCCAGCCGCAGCGAACAGGTCTGCTGTGGAAGCGCGACCTGACCCATGGGACCTGGAAGGACTCAGGTGGATCGGCGCAGCTCCAGGACAGGTGATTTAAGATGTGGTCCTCAGTTGAAGAGGAAGCTGCAGCATCAGCCCGATGGGCTTTGATCCTCACAAGATGGCCAGCCCATTTTCCACGGCACCTGGAGCGATTTCTTCGAGTGGGCAGGATACCACGGCGGAGATAAACAGGAACGTCTTCAAGCAGAGGTGGGGGTCCAAGAGGGGGTACAGAGTTACCATCATTATGATCAAACAAAGCAAGACTGGTGGCAGATAGTCGGAGATTTAGGAGTTGATGACGTTCATAAACCAGCAGTGAGTCTATGTTGTAGGTGAAAAATGACAAAAACAGAAAAAACACAATCACTGCAGACAGAGGTGGAGGGCAGGCCATGTACAGCAGCGCCATCTTCCGAAGATGGCGCTGCTGTGGAGGACATTTGTTTGGTGGCTTCTTGGTCATCGCCTTGTTCATTTATTCGTTTTTATCTACGTGATGTTTCTACCTTCTCCATGACTCATTCTGTTCTCAGGGTTCTAACAGAATGATTTTTATTTGTTTTATGGAGCTTCGTTTTAAGCTCACATTTGCCTTCACGCAATTACAGTGTGAGACAATTATTATCAGTGTGAGACAATTATTATTAGTCACAAGTTCATGACTGTTGTTTTTATTGTTACTAATCAGTTCATATCGAAGAGCTGTTGACTTGCTCTGTTCATCGTTACACTGTTACAATTCGTAACCTCTGTTGTTTTCTATTCTCAGCAGCAGGTCTGCTTCTCAGCCTTCTCTTTTCCCCATCGGAGACCCTCTTCTCTAGGGCGCTCCTGCGCATGGAGCGCGTAATTACGCACACAGAAGGCTGAGTGATTCAATGTTTTTTGGTGCAAGCGGGTGCTTCATATTGTGTCTGAATGGACCCAGTGAGGCATAGACTACATCCTGCATCGCCTTTAACCCACTAGCGATAGCCTTACAGGGCGAAGCTTATACAAAATAGAACGTTGGTTACGTACTGTAACCCCAGATTCTATGAGAATAGGCACAGCCCTTTAAGCTCTGGGCCTCACTGGTTCCTAAATGGCTGAAGAAAAAAGCTAATTGGGAGCCGATTACCCGGTTTCACCATAATATACACGGACCAGGGGTGGGGTCCACACAGCAGGTGGGCGTGGACTAAAGTTTTCAGTGCTGCACTGCACACGAAGGGGATAAACCCACTAGCGATAGCCTTAAAGGGCTGTGCCTATACTCATAGAATGTGGAATTACAGTACGTAACCAACGTTTTCCATTAGTAACTAGCAAATAAGGAGCTGGAAGCAACAAAATGTCTATTGATAGCATCACAGCATCAGTTTCATCCTTAAACAAAACAGGAAGCAGCACACCTGCCTCTGGTAGCTGCTTGGCTGGTTTGCAGTGAAGACCTCCCACAAATTTAAAGTTGGGGGGGACTGGGCGCGGAGTCTCCAGGTCCCAGAAGGTTCGGATGAGCCAAACGTCGGCCCTCATCAAGGAGCTGCAGAATCTTCCAGGACTTCCTGTCCACACAGGAAACATAAATGAAAATTATCAAAGTTCATACTCAGTAATCCAGGTAGAAAAATCCTACAGAGTTAAGTCAGGTCCTCTGGACAGTTTTCTTTTGTAGTAAAATATTGTGATTAACTGTATCAAATGCAGCACTGAGGTCTAACAGGACCAGTTTAAACACAAGTCCATTGTCAGAGGCCATGAGAATTAGTAACTTTCACCAGTGCTGTCGCCATGCTATGATGAGCTCTAAACCTGACTGAAAATCTTCAAGCAGATTATTTTGAGATGAATGTTAGATTAGATAGTCTAAAATTGGCCAGAATTCCTGAATCAAGATCAGGTTTCTTAAGTAAAGGTTTAATTACAGCAGTCTTAAAGTGCTGTGGTACGTAACCATTCATTAAAGACAAATTAAGTAGATCCAAAATGTGGATATTAATTAGGGGAAGTACCTCTTTAAACAGTCTGGTTAGGATAGGATCTACCAGACATGTTCATGGTTTGGATGAAGCTATTTTTTAAACAGTCTTTTTATTAAGCTTTTTGTTTTTTGAACACAAACACAATAAGAGCAAAATAACACAAAACAAAATTCCCTCCCACTCCACCCCTCCCACACCGGATCAGTCACACGTACATAAAGATTTTATACATTCAATGACATGTTTTCAACAAATGACAGGAAAGACTGCCAGGTGTCCCATAATTGTCCTGCAGAACCCTTGAGGGTGTATCTGTTTTTTTCTAGATTAATATTATACATCACTTCTCTTATCCAATGTACAGACAGTATGTTGGGGTGCGTGGGTCCTTCCAATTGCACAAAATTAGCCTCCTGGACAGAGGAGAGTAAAAGCCAGTCATATCCTTCTCACGTCTGCTGATGGACATGTCCACTGGGACCACCCCAAACAATTAGATGAGTGGTGATGGGTGTACAGTCCTGCCATACACTCTAGAGAAGATGTCAAATATAGATTGCCAAAAGGTCTCCAGCTTTGGACAGGTCCAGAACGTATGCAAGAGTTTAGCTGGAGTTTGTTTGCAATGATTGCATGCTGGGTCCAGATCGGTCTTGATCTTGGACAACTTGTCTTTGGACCAGTGCAGCCTGTGTACCACCTTGAATTGAATTACAGCATGTCTCAGGCAGATTGAAAATGAATAAATATTCTTAATGATCCTTTTCCAGATTTGAGTCTGATATGGATTCATCCAAGTCCGCTTCCCATTTCAATTTAAGGGAGTCCAAACTGGGCTCATATGAAGTGAGCAGTATATAAATTTTGCTATGAATAGTATTTCAAGGTAGTAATATAATCTAAAATGCATGTGATATATATCACACATAACTAACATAAACTACACAGGTTGTGTGACAAGTTATTGCACAGGTAGTGAGTGACATTGAGATTGAATTATGATGGTAAGGTAGATACATGGATACTGTAGAATACAGTATCGTACATGATACATAGTGACGATAGGTTGTGTAATGTAAAATTTACTATTACATACTGAATTTCACTGTGAGTTTATACCCTGTGTCACTCTGTGGCATGAAAACATCCACTGCAGTAACTATTTAAAGTAATTACCGGTAGTAGCTTAGATCCCCCCCCCCCCCCCTCGTCTTCTTTGCCTTAATGTTGGTCGATAAGGCAGAAATGCCTCACTAAATGCCTCAGGTAACGTCGTAAGCTTCACTACGTCCACCATTACAGCCATGTTGTTTGTTAGTTTGTCTGAGATTAGCTCACCCTGTGTTACATTTCCTCGTGGGCGAAGCGATCATACCATTCATGTAAAATATTTCAGAATATTGTCCATAATTTGACAATGTTCTTATAGAAACAATTCCTGAATGTTGTTCATATTGTGTTAATGCTACATGTTTGTCTCTTGACGCTACATCTGGGTAAGGTTACAGTAGACCTAGCCCACTACTGGAGTTTTAGGTATTTTAAATTACTAATAAACACAATGGATGATGATCATATTGCTTTATCCCTTAACAAAAAGTAGTACATTTGAAGTTTATTTTTGCAAGTATACTTTAAGTTAAGTATAAGTATATCAAGTAAACTACACACCATACTTGTAGTGTACTAGAAGTATACTGATTTAATACTTGTTTGGACTAAATTGGAACATTTTTATACTATTTTTAAGTATATCAAATAAAGTTTATAAAAAGTAAACTTCAAGTACACTTCCTCATTTTTAGTATAAAGTAAGTATACTTGTAGTACACTTAAATAAACTACTTTTTGCTAAGGGATGCTAGGGCATTGGCAAGAAGGAGTGAATATTATTGTTATCGTTTCATAATGGCTAGTGATTTTTTTCCCCCTAAAACGTAACTTAGGCTACACTATGTTTCTTAGACTGTGACTGAAATGAGAGAAGCAGAGCTTGCTCTATTCACACAAGGAGAGCTGTTGGTCAGGCTACTTCTTGTTGTTCCATTAACTCTAAAATAGTTATTGAATCAAGTGTTACTTGTGTAGGTAAAACTAGATGTTTAACAACTCGTTAAAATACACCAGAATGCATGAAATGGCATTTACTTTATTTTAAAAATTCTGGGGGAAGACCCCCAGACCCCCCACCAGTGTGTCCACCCCCCCCCCCCCCCCCCCCACACACACACACACATTACAAACATGCTTCTGACACCAATGGCCACTGTGTTACTAACCATCTTCCAGAGCAGGACCCTCACCCAGACCAAAGCAGGACTCTCACATATACTGTAACATACTACACATCTCATGAAGAACAAGATTATTGACATTTTCATCTGAAGTGGGCCAAGTCACTTATATTAAAAGTAAACTAATGAAAATTGCTGCTGTAATTTGATTATTTTAATAAGCCATGTAACTTGCTACGAGCCCAGGTTTTGAACAGGTGTGATACTGGTGTGTGACCACAACGTGCACATCTGATGTTGCTCACAGTGGTCCTCACTGTGTTTGCCCAGACACATGAAAAATTAGAGGGAACATTGCCTGGGCTTTCAAAATAATTAAGAAAGTATTTTAAAAAACAGACTAAAATTAAGTAAAATAATTAATTTCACATGAACATGTGAATTCACATGACACCTGCAGTTCAGAGTTCAGACATACAAGTAATCAAAATGATTATTCAGCTGACCTTTGACCTCATTGTAGTATGAACTGAAAGTCAGCCTCCAGTGCACTTCGCCTAGTGCTGACGTCATCATGTACGTGATCAAGTTGATCAGCCTCTCCATAATTGTCATGCGATCGCTGTACGGCAGTGGGGCTGCTGGGACAAAAGATGCCGGTGCAAGTGCTTGGCCACAATGGCGTTCCATGGTGCTGCCGAGTGAGAAGCGCAGCGAGAGGACAAGCGGCAAGTTGAGCACGTCAGCCAGCAGGTCACCACACAGTACCATTGGGTCCAGAAGAACTACATCAAAGTAGGAGTCCCTCAGGGTGGTCATGAGCTGCTGGTTCTTCAACATGGCATCACACTGTTGCATTCCAAACTTAGACATCTGGCGTAGGATATCACTGACTGCCATAAATCGCTGTAACAAGGAGGAATTGTGTGACTCGTACATCGAGAAGTGAATAAAGTCCTGAAAAAAACCCTTAAACTCCGACCTGCTGAATGGAACCTAAAACAAAGAAACACACCAACAAAATATTGATCAATTACTGATTAACAACTGATTATTAATGACCAAATACAGATCATCAACTGGTCATCTATTCAATTCAATTCAATTTATTTCTGTAGCTCCAAGTCCCAACAGAAGCTGCCTCGGTGCACTGAACAAAAACATTCAAATACATAAAAAAGACAATTAGTAAAAGTGATCTATCTATGGAAAGAAGCCAGCAGAGTGTGTTGAATCTTCACTTCATCACAGTTTCCCATCCTAACCCCACCCTAACAACAGTGGCAGCGCATGTTCGTTTATTCCAAGAAGAAAAAATACAACAAAGTCCTAGCTACTTCGTAAGTAGATTTATTTAACATGGAGGAAATTTAAATGCAAGTACTGTATACCATGCTCTTTTTCTGTTCAGGAAGCCCCAGTCCACATGTGAGTAATTCATTGTGAGTTGCTGCTGCCACCCTTCCAGAAAAATATGCCAAATTCATCATTTACATAAAGTTATATTGAGAATGTACAACTATCTGATTGGTCTAAACATTTTGGGAGAGCCTGTGGTTGTAAACTTAGGATTTCCTTATTGATTTTTCAGGCTGGACATCATCCAATCCAATCCAGCTGTGACAGCAGCACCTGTTGAAGGATGACACCCAGACGTATATCAAAAATGGGGACTCGAGTCTGTGACTTGGACTCGAGTCGCACTTAAGTCGCACACGCAGTGACTTGAGACTTGACTTTAGACTCATCCTCATAAGACTCGACTCGGACTTGAGGTTTTTGACTCGTGAAGAATGTTTATTTTATTTCAGTGCATTTAACTGCCGTACCGTTTTTAGTGTCGTGATGATGGTGAGTGGTCCAAAAACTGTCCTACTGTTTGTCATTGCATTTGGCTATAAGGACTTCAAACAAGGTTCAAACAAAAGAATAGCAACTTGCAAGGTGTTGAGGCATCAAGTTAAAAAAAGCCGAATCAACAACATCTAATTTTATCAGGCCTTTGAAAACACACCTGGACAAGTTGGTCAATCTGTTTGGCTAATGCTAGCTGTTATACCCAAGAGATGCTAACTTGATTATTTGTATTTCCTGAATATTTGAGAAGAGGAATTGATCTTTGTTTGCTTGTTAGTTGCCAAACCTGTTTACAGAGTACTGGATACATCATTACTGTAGGGTTAATTGATTAAGCTGTGCTTCGATCATGCTGCAATCATTACCATCAAGCTGCTAGCAGGGCCTGCTAACAAGACTTGCTAACAAGATCCTCCATCTGCCTGCACGGATCGAACTCTACAGACCTGTTCAGGTCCGCAGGGAAATCTTGGATGTTCTCTGTCTGCAGGACCTGGTTCTAGACTGCGATCTGTGAGGGCAGCTGCTGTGGTCCTTATTACCATCAAGCTGCAACATATATATATATATACATACATATACATACATACATATATATACATACATACATATATACATACATACATATATATATACATACATACATATATATATATACATACATACATACATATATATACATACATATACATATATATACATACATATACATATATATACATACATATACATATATACATATATTTTTCATTCAACCTTTATTTAAACAGATAAATCACATTGAGCCTCGAAGACTCATTTACAAGTGAGACCTGTTTGGACAGACAAAAACAGTGGTTAACTGGACACATGTAGGAGTTGGAGGCGAAAAAAATTCCTATCAGACTTTTTTCTTGGCTGAGAAAAACCCCTAATATTGAAAAAACACCTCGCACAAACAAGCACATATTTACGTAGACATTCTGCAGAGCAGGAAGAAGGAAGAGACGAGAGCGGTCAACAACGTCTACAGATGCTCTCGAGGTCACTGTAATCAGTCAATGTCCTCCGGTGAGATCCATAAACATTCTCAAGGTATGTCGAGAAATGGCCAAGAATAACCTCTGAGAATCCAGAGTCCTGAAATGATGGCAGATAGTTTTTTCAGCTGGGTTTCATCTGGTTATCAGTTGGAAATTCCTCAGGGAGGGGGTGGTGAGCATCAGATCACATTTTCTCCAGGCGACTTTAGATAAGATGGCCTTCAAGGACAACCAAGGCGACCAAAATTTAGATAAACACACAGTTGTTTTGGAGACAGGCAGAACTTAATGACATCAATCTTGAGTCTGTGTTTGGTCCACTCGGTTCCGAAATGTCCAAATTAACATGGCCACATCGATGGAAATGTGTCTGAGTAAAAATCCCCAAGATCTGATCCATTCAGCCCAAAGCATTTGAGTCTGGGTACTCGAGACATAAAACCAAACCATCATAAAGGCAAGCAGCGTGATTGGGTCCAAATTTGCTGCTGACGACTTCCTTGATTGTAGATAAATACCAGGACCAGCTGAATCCAAAAAGCAGGAACCGGTTATCGTGAATCCAATTAAATATGCGTCCTTAAAATCCACAGATGGCAGCAGAGAGAGACACATCATCAAGTCTTCCAGTCGATGAGATATCCAGCTGCGTGCGTGCCAACAGGGTAAATCGGCTCGCCTAAAGCCTGTCTTCTCTTGATGAAATGTTGTAAATTGAGTTGAGGGACCAACTGGTCAGAACAAGTCCATAATTATGGTTCAGAAGAAACGCAAGAGAGTCTCAGAGTCTCAGAAGCAGTTTCACAGACAGACAGAGCAGCAAAGCAAAGCGGAGAGGGAGGGGGAGGAAGCATCCGATCTCGGCTTGAGCAAGTGGTGAAGAGATATATACATACATACATACACATATATACATACATACACATATATACATACAAACATATATATACATACATACACATATATACATACAAACATGTAAAGAACTCTCGTGAGGGTTTGGACCAAGATCACAACACAACAGACTGACGATAAATAATAAGTGTTTATTGTTTCTAGGAGGGAAGTGACAGCTGGTCTTGGTGCTGGTCTGGGTTCTGGTTCTGGTGTCGGTTAATGGCAGGAGCAATCTAAGAAGCAGAGAACGGTTAGTGGTCGTGCTGATAACCAGAACGTGGAGAACAGTCAATAAGGAAAAACCACTAACCGTCTCAGATGATCTCAAGGGTCCTGAAGGGTGGAAGTGTTCAGATCTGCAGCTGCTGGAAGGGCTGAGTCCGGTGAAGGACGACAGTCGGCCGCAGCTGTCTGCGTGTCCAGAGTCCGTGATCCAAAAGGGGTGGTCAGGCTTTCCAAGGTCCAGTAACGTGAAGCAGATGTCAGGCAGTACCAGAGGAGCAGGCAGATCGGTGGTCGTGCAGGCGTGGGTCGGTACCAAGAGCAGATGCAGAAACAAATCCAAAAGGGCAATCCAAAGAGACGTGGTCGAGGCAGGCAGAGGGTCAAGGAACCAAGAGATCAGGCCAAACAAGAAGGGGAGGACAACCAGAAAGAGGGACAGGTAGCGTGGTGGGCAAGACAAGGAGCAAGGACTTGAACAGGGACAAGAGAGGGGAACAAGGACTACAGGCATGAACGCGAGATATCTACTAACTACTAAGAGTGTTCAACTATCGGGCACCGAAGAGTTGACAGGGTGCTGCTTATAAAGGGTGGAGAGAACAGGTGCAGCCAGTCTGAGATAATCAGGCCAGCTGACTGCAGTGCAGCCAATTAGTGCAGTCAGCCTTCACCAACATGCAGAGTGGACAGACTGGTTCTCCACATACACACACACACATGAGAACCAGGTAGAAGAAGATAAGGAGTGAGGAGGAAAAGAACAGAACAGGACTGAGAAACCAGAACTAGTGAACAGAGTGATAAAGATCTAAACACAGGAACGTGATTCATGACACAAACATATATATACATACATACACATATATACATACATACACATATATACATACATACATACATATACATATATACATACAGTATATACATACATATACATATATACATACAAACATATATATACATACATACATACATATACATATATACATACAGTACATACATACATACACATATATACATACAAACATATATATACATACATA